TCTATAGCTAATCATTATCTTAACTAAAAAACTTAAGTTTTTATATATATAATTTATATCAACTTTTAAATGTTCCATACGATCACCGCCCGTCTTACTTTTCTGTTTCTTTTTAAATTATTAAATAATACTTTGTATTGATCTCTTAAAATGCACCGTTTTCTTTTAGGTGAATTCATGCTCAGATGAGCCCCTCCTTTATAGGGATATTTTCTTAATAGTAATTTAAAAATTACTCTGCTTTTTGTAGCTTAAGAACTTGTTTGATTGATCACTATAAAAATAAATATATTAAGATTAGTTCAGTATAAAAAAATGCAGATTATTTGTTAAACCATATTAATATTGCAGCTTGAAATCCAGATTCACATTCTTGCTTCTGAACTAAACAAGCAGAAAGCAAATTCTTCATCTTTTTCCCTTTTCCTTTTGGAACAATCCTACTTTAACTGCTCATACATAGAAGCATAGAATATACAATTGTGTTTCTCGTTCATGACAAATTGTCCTTGAAATCTATTTCCAACTAGCCATGGGGCTTATTTCCTTCTAGTTGACGAATAAAACAGTCTTTATTTTTTATAATAATCGAAATTTTATGAATAAAACATAGTATTTACAAGGAGAGAAATGGAAAACTCATATATAAAACAATTAAACCAAAAGAAATCCAGCAGTTGCTAATTTATCCAGCGTCAGATATTTCTATCGGACTTCTGTAAAGATCCATCCCTGTATATGAGAAATTATTGTCCACAGTGTGCGACAATAGTGCTAGGTGGTGAAGGATTAGGGAAAACACTGCATTCCAATCGGTTTTTTGTTTTCAAAAATTAGTTTACTTCTTGGTGTCCAAATGCCCCATAAAATGCCATGCGAAAGCAAAATAATTGCTTTTCGTTGGAGTATCCGGGTCACCAGTGCACTCCTGAGGCATAATCCAGCTGCAGTCTAACCATTTTGTGAACTTCATCCACAGTTTCCACACATCATCACAGTGCAAGAAAAGATGAGCTACGTACATCTTCGGTGCTGCTATGACAAAATGAACATTTTCTTTGAACAATGTCTATCAGATTCCTGTGGAGAAGAAACTCCCGAGTGCAGACTGTAATCTGAAAAAAAACATCCAAATGAAAACATCTATCTCTGGAGGACCCAGTTCTTTTCCATAATAGAGAGGAGAACTGTACAGGACTTGGGTAAAACAACTCTGTCAATTACTTTGCTGAGTGTTAACGGGGAACCTTCCTTGTGAGTCTGCCTCCCATACTTCAGTGTCCTTTTTATTCCAAATAAATTAAACCCCACTTAACATATGCTTTAGTTGGTCCAGCTGACGTAATTCAAGTACTCGTAAATTCCTTCTCCAATAGAGCTTCCACCGCCACACACCATCACATAAATCTCCCTTCAATGCGTTAACTGACTCCTCTTTTGCTTCAGACAGTTTTGCTACTCAAATTTCACTTTATTTTTTAAAACATTTTGCGAAAAACCAAAGAATGGAAAAAAAAAACCAACAAAAACTCAAAAAATACATTATTGATGTGTTTACACACGCTTACATGGCAATCCAAATTTACTACCCCTTACTCTTGATTCTTAAAAAAAATATTTCTAACTGGACTAACGGAAACTCTATAAATTGGAGTATATCACAATGCAAAGTTACAAGTTTAAATACAATTAATAATAAATGTCTATCTTTTATACAAAAACAATCCCCTAGTAGAAGGGAATCTACCAACCTAGACCATTAACATAGCAAGGCATAACAACTAATAATAAAGCATAATTTTTTCATTAATGATATAACTATCAACATCTTATTTTTCTCTATTTATTTACAAGCCGAATACAGAAAAAGAATAGACCACCCAAGAATATAATACTAAAACAATATAAACTATTGTAATATAATATTTCTCGAGTCACAGATAAATTAACAATATAAAAATAAACCTTCATCCACTAGGTATAGCATACTATGCAAGGTGATGGAGCTACATTACTACTTTTATGCTTCTACGCACCTCCTAGTTTCATTAGATATTTCAAGGATAAGAGATTACTTAGGGTTAGGAAAGGTACTTGCATTTTTATACATCATACTTATAAAAAGTTATATTATATGATTTAAATATTGTTTAAAGGTTTTGATTTGTTTTTAATAAGTAGTTTGTCAATGATTTAAAAAAAGGATTTATTTATATGAATAAATCTAACATTTCAAATTTATATTGATTCACATGTCCAAATAATTTTTTAAGGAAATAATTCATACAAGTGCCTTGACAAAATTTACCCATCCTAAAAAACAAAAGAGTTTTTATTATTTATTTGTTGATTCAATATTTATATCAAAATGTTAATCATTAATTGACATAAATTTAAATTTTAAAAATTATTAAAATATTAATCAAATTTTTATAAATTTAGTAGATTAATCATTAAATCCAAAATGCATACACAGATTATTTTTTTTAGCATAAAAACACACAAATTTTTTTTTTAATAAAAACACTAAAACATGTATTTTACTTTTTAAGTAGGATATGATTTTTTTTAATTTTTAAAAAACTTGACTATATGCAAATAAAACATTTAATTAATTAAATTTTTTTATCTATTTATCTTTTTTTTTATTATTTATTTAACACAAAGTAAAAAAAAAATAATAAAAAGAGAATGAATACACATACAAATTCTCTTTTTCAGTATATTTTACTTACACACTTAAAAAATACACATATTCACACAATATCTAAAATTATAATTTTAATTTAAACACACACTAAACATTTATAATTTATAAAATAAAACTCCTGAAATTCATAAATTAATCTGGAAAAATTGTTGAAAACTGAGGAACACTGCTAAATTTTTTTGAAAGTACTGGAATAGTGACAGCGCGTGGGTAGATTTGCCACCACCAGTTGGTCCCCAAGTCCGACTTCTCCGCAGCTCCCCAAGCTTCAGTGATTTGTTGAGCTCACCAATCACGAGTCCCCCAGTAAATTGATGACATCAATATAGTCCATATCCAATCTTTGAAGAGAAGTTTAGAGTCTGTTTAAAAAAGTGAGGTTGTTTTTTTTAAAATGTTTTTTAATTAAAAATATATTAAAATATTAAAAAAATATTAATTTAAATTAAAAAATTAAAAATTTTGAACACAAAACATAACTTACTAACCTCAAAAATATGTTTCCTGGACAAGCCTTTATCATTAGGACCAGGACCTCCCCAAAAGATCTCAGTAAACACAGATCGCTTGACCCATGATTTCCTCGGCTCTTCCATTAGCATAAGCCTCTGCGTTTTCAAAGAAATTGACACCATGGTCTCTGCAACATTGCAACAGTGATCTCGCTTCTTTGACGTTTTGTTGGTTCCCAAAACTTACCCAAGCTCCGTGTGAGAGCTGGCTCACTTTCAGCCCTGATCTCCCTAGATTCTTGTATTGTATTTTTTATTTTTTCCTTTTGGGGTGGATTGAAGAGAGAGAGAGGCGTGGAAGAACGGAGGAAGTGAAGTGTAATGGTGGTGTGTAATGGTTGTTATGGCTGGCTGAGGTGAAGGCTTTTGGTGGTGACTTGGAGGGTGGGGTTGTTGGTGATGGGGTTACTGGAGGTGTAGAAGTGGGAGGTGGGTTAATTATTTTGGTCCAAAGAGAGGGATGAAGCTTTGTATCAGTGAGAGTGGGTCTCACGGTGCTTGCGCGTTAGGGAAGATGATGGAGAGGGTTGTGGGTTTGGGTTGTTACGGGTTGGTGCTGATCTGAAGGAAAGAAGAAAAGGCAGCTGACGGCTAGTTTTGCTTATGGAGTCTAGTTTTTTTTTTTTTTGGGTGATTGGGAGCTATGTTTATAAAACACGAAAAATTCTTATTCTAATTCAAACACACACGAAATATTTATAATTTACAAAATAGGCCTCTGCTATTTATGATTTACAAAATAGGCCTCCACTATTCCTCCACTTCAGAACTGACCACACATTAAACATTTATAATTTACATCCAATTTTATTACCATGTAAGTGATTGAAGCAAGCTTGAAGGCCTGTAATCATACCATTCAAATACCAACATGTGATAAACTATATATAATACATACTGGCTTCAAGGCCGTCATTGAAAACAGCACAGCCACATAAATATCACGAAACTGAATAACAACCATACATGCAATAAAACACAAAATATAATGATCTATGGAACAGGTTCAAACCATCAAGAAAATGGAATAACCTCTATGCCAGTTAAACCTCCCATATTCATCAAATCGACGGAGCTTTTTCTCCCGTAGTAGGCAAGGGACAAGAAACCGTGGCAGAGCTTTCCAGTTTCTCTTGAGAATGTCGTAGGTAGAGTCCAGAAATGAGACGTAAAGACGGAATTGCATTATTGTAAATACCAAGACAGGAAGAAATGAAGCAACTGAAAGGAGTAATGTTGTTAAGTTTGTCCCTGATTGAACGAGTATTAAAATTGTTGACCTAAAGCATAGCATGCTCGTCATCATTGATAAAAAGAGGAAGGTGAAGCCAACGGTAAGTTTTCGAGGAAGAGCGATGTGGAAATCTTGCAGCTCAAATCGAGAGGTCAACAAAGAGAGAAACACCGTAAGTGAAGTCAAGGAGAATGCTAGGGAGACAACATCGACAGCGAAAGTCAGAAAATATGGAGATTTGATGAGATTGGGCTTGCCATTAAGACATTCTGTCATTCAAACACACATAAATTTATGTGATTCGGTAACTTATCTACTCTATGGAGCTACTGATTTGTATTAATCAAACTCAAAAGTAATACAAACAACAAAACAAAGAGGAGAAGAAAACTTATCTACTTAACTCAATTCTCACCCTTAACTCTCTTTTTGTGTTTCTCTCTATTTCATGGTCTATATCAACTATCAATGCATTCTCTATTTATAACTGATGAGAGAGACAATTGTTCAACAATGATGGGCAAATTAAGCCCTCATCATTTAACTATAACCATGTTAACCATGACTGCCACCAGTCATTTGTGTCAACACACATAACACCATTCTCATCAGAACCGCCAGGCACAATATAGGCAGCAGCAAAGACAAAAGTAGCAACAAGTGCAGCTACTGTGGAACAAGACTGAGTTGTTTCCTTGATCCACGTTCGTGCACTGTTCAGTTGCTCCTTGTGCTGCTCGAAGAAGAGTTCTCTTGCAGTCATGCCATCCTCGTTCCGAAGCATGACATAATGAGAAGGAATTACCTCTCTAACTTGCTGCAATAATTGGGAGATAAACGTGATCATTATAAGGAGTTCTAAATCAAACTAAATATTATAGAAATGAAATTACTAGAGTGCGGATAATATTTTAATTGTGAACAATAGTTAAGTTTTCCTCAAACTAGTTGGTTCATGTGGTAAGGAGAACTCGTTCAGCCTGATGTCTTAATCAGGTTCGACATATACGTTAATTGTATTGGATAATATGGTTGAAACAAATATTTTGATAGGGTGGTGTTCTTATACACAAGATGTATAAGATGGTACAAAGTTCATGAATAATTTTTATCAGGAGGTAAAGACAAGGGATGAGAAGGTCTCACCTCAAACCATTGCAACTCATCCTGAAGTTGATGTGCAGGTCCAGGCTTGGTTCCTCCTCTGTAATGCTCCATATCTGCAACATGGTGCAGCAATGTGTTGCCCTTCTTATCAACAACTCGATGCATCTAGCCAATGGTATTTTCTGATGCACCAATGTGTTGCCCTTCAATGATGAGTTTGTTTCAGAAGTTTCTGTTGTATAATGAAGTTGGATTTCTACTGTATCTTTTCCTTTGCTAGTGAACTCAGAGAACTTGTTTTCTCCCTTTTCTATATTCTTTCCCACTCAGTCCTTCCTCTGTTGTGCTGACTTTATTCAATGAGTCATCTTTCTTTATTAGGATTTCGGCGAGCCTCAAAGCAAATACATGCATTCTTTTCTGGTTCCAGAATCCTTCTAGCCAACATCCTACTTCATGTTCATGCGAAGGGGAACGAAATTAAACATGGATCGATGAGAGGTAGCCATTTTTAAGAAACAGAAAGAGATGTTAACAATGATAGTAGAAGGATGAACAAAAAAAATTTCATGATTGTAGAAGGTGAAAAAATAGAGACATGGTAAAGGTGAAAACAGATAATGATTGTCTGGTTTTTAACCTTTATATCAGCAATTCTCTTTACTTTCATGCCTTATACTTTATATTGGGTAGTCAAAAACTATATGGCTAACTTTCCATTATTAATAATAGCCTCTCTCGTTTATAAAAAATTTGTAGAAGACAAAACAACACCAACATAATTAAAAGAAGAAATCGTACGTAGCTAGAAGAAATGAATCTAAATCGTGCAACCATAAAAGCGAGCCTGATAATGTTTTTTGTTGTTTGATATTTACAGAGAGTTTATCTAGTTCTTTAGGAAGAGGCTCTATATCTGATGACTCCCATGAATTATTTGCATAAGCTTCAAAAAACAGGGTGTGAACCAAAACCTCTTGTTAAGTTAATGAAGATGTAACATTGAATCCCATTTTTCCAAGTTCAAGCATATAAGGATTATTCGTTTAAATGCACCTTTTTAAATAACAATGAGATGGTGCTCAATCGGTTAGTCCTACAACTGTCTTTTGCTGAAACTGTTACCTTAATTGAAAAAATGAGTGTTAGGATTCGAATAGGTTATCAATTCTTATTAAAATGATATTTGTTTTTGTATTTTAAAAATATTTTTTGAAAAAAATTATTTTTTTCTAATTAAATATTTTTTAGTGTTTTTAGATTATTTTGATGTGCTAAAATAAAAATAAAATATTATTTCAATACATTTAAAAAAATAATAACTACTATAATACTAAACGAAATTTAAAATTATAATATCAAAAGCTAGAATTCAAGTTCAAGAATGTTTGTTTTTAAAGTTATAATATCAATTTAAAAATCATTTCAATAAAAAAAATTAAGTTACTAATTAATACTTACAAGAGAACAACTACAAAAGGTGGTTGTATCTCTACTCACGTCATCCTATTAAAATCTGCAACGTGATAGATTATTACTTATCATTTTCGACGCCGCAAACTGGAAATACAACACTTGTAAAATTTGTTCGAGCCATGAAATTTTAATATCGATATACAAATTAAGGTAGCTCAATATATAATACCACCTAGCCTTGAAACCAAAAGAACGGGCCTCAACTGTGTCCCATACCTTCAGGGACTTTTAAATATTTCAGTATGCCGCCTCTTGGTTTCCTCTCCGGCATCTTTCTTTTCTTCAACCAAGTTTCTACCTGTGATTTTACCTCGTGGTGACGTTTAACAAGAAGGCCTGCAACATAATATAGAGTTCAATTTATATGTGTGTGTGCATACACATATATACATATAAGAGTGTGTGTGTGTGTGTCCATGGTATACATACAAGAAATATGTAGGCAATATTGTAAGGTCTAATAATGTGGTTAGTGTAGGCATACAGCAGTAGATGAGTCTTTCACATATGTCCATGGGAAATCCACTCTCAAAAGCGGTTGGCATTTGGGCTAGAAGTTGAAGAGCAGTTACGCCGTCTTTGTCCTTCAACTTGTGGAGCGAGTCATCCAGTTCTAGCAACAGTAAAGCTGTTTCTGCATTCATGAAATAACGCATGGAAGAATTATACGATATCTTATATATGTATACTTTTAAATTCGATAATTAGACAGAGAGAAATTGTTACCAAAGTGTTGCCCTGTGATAGCAGCGCTAAGGATAGACAGGCCATCCGTTCTCTTGCGGTGAATTGATAATAGGCGGCACTTATCATCCACGCATTTTTCTGGTTTGGAAGTGATTAAAAACTCCACTATTTCTGTCTCAGCAAATCCAGCAGCTGTAAACAATGGGGTTTCACCGTAGTTATTTTTTTCCTTAAGGAGGCCCGGACAACGTTCTACCAAGAGCCTTGCAGCCTCATAATTCCCGTAGATGGTTGCCTCGTGAAGAGCCGTATTTCCAAAATTGTTTTTTCTCTTGAGAAATTCAATCTCAGGTTCAAGGGACTCTATCTCAGGTACAAGGGACTCTGTCTCAGTTACAAGGGACTCTGTCTCAGTTACAAGGGATTCGGTCTCATCAGGTAAAAAGAATTGTATATCCTTCACGATTTCAAGTAAATCTTTAAGTGGTTGCTTTTGTTTGCTGTACACAGCTAAATGAAGTGCAGTATCCGCAGAGGGCGTAACTGGGAAGGGCACATCTAGAACACGTTCCTGATAATGGTCACGCATGCTTTTCCAATTTCCACTCATGGCTGCTCTATAAGGTATCTCCATTATAGGAAGAGAACCCATGTTTTCTCTCTGCAGAAAATTACGTAAGTGACTATTGTTAATAAACAATCTCAACTCGAAGCTAACTAAGGTGAAATCCTAAAAATAAATTTATATAACTCATAATACGGATCATTAATATAATGGAAAACAAAATTAGGAAGTGAGCGCTCAAGGAGAACTGTAAGTATGCCATACCTTTAAGTAATGGAAAGCAAATCTTGGTAGAGTCAATGTCAACAAGAAAACTATTATGTTTCCGGAGAGATGACTACAAAGAAACAACCTAGCTTGCAGTTTTTTTCTGAATTAAGTCGTTTGAGAACCCTATATATACAATCCCTTAATTCCTTTTTCAGAAAAGAAGTAAATTAGGATCTGTGTGTTGCTTGTTTGGTTTATAAAGTGAAACTATTATGAGAATATAATAAAGATATGTTGATTCTCCTAAAATAATTTTAAATTTAAATTTATAAAGATATGTTGATTATAAAGTGAAACTATTATGAGAATATAATAAAGATATGTTGATTCTCCTTTCGCTTAAAATAATTTTAAATTTAAATTTTATAAATAATTTTATATCTAACTTTCTAACATTCCATACTATCAGCACCCATCTAAGCTTATTATTTATTTTAAATAATTAAATAGTGCTTTGTATCGATCTCTTAAAATACACTTTTCTATTATGGTGAACTCTTGCTGATAAGCTCCTTCTTTGTAGGGATATTTTCTTCCATATTAATAATTTAATTAATCCGTCTCCAGAAGTATATATTAGCTTAAGAACTTGTTTAAATGATCATTATAAAAATAAATATATTAAGATTAGATTTTGGTCAAATTTTTTTTCTTAGTTTCAGTATAAGTGAAAAATATATTGCACTTGTTAAACCATAATATTAATTGCAGTTTGAAATCAAGATTAACATTCTTGCTTCTAAAATAGGCAAGCAAAAAAGAAGAAATTAATTTATTACTTTTTTAACCTTTTTTTCCTTTTAATTGGAATAATCCTATTTTAATTGTTCTTATTTGCTTCTTTTAGTTAATTTGTTATTTTTTTAATGGCATTGCGTAAATCTTATTAATATGATCTCTCAATTACTATAAAAAAAATATTCTCATTTGCTTTCTCGACCATAGTTACACTTATTACACTATAATATGAGATGTTCTCATTTGCTTTAAAGAAGCATAAAATATAAAATTGTATTTCATATAAAATTTTATAAAAACAATTCTACCCTTAAGTTCCTAATCCATCCGTTTCAAGTTAAATTTATGAGATTTGAATTTCTAATTATTTAATCACTAAGTTCTCATAACATATTAAATTAAATTTTTGAAATGGTGTCGTTAAAAAAAACTTCAATTTTATAACGTATAGTCCATTCAATATTTTTTATATTCTCTTAATTGAAATTAGTTATCTTATATTTTTTTCTAATTTAATTAAGAAAATATAGTATATGAACTTTGAACTCTTCACAATTCGGTCAATATATTTTTAATATAATATTAAATAATTATTTTAATTTAAAATTTTAATTTATTAAATGATTTTTCAAAAATGATTTTATATTAATTTTTTAATATTTCACATTATCAGTGCCCATCTTACCTTTTATTTTATTTTTTAATAATAGTTTGTATAGATCTCTTAAAATACACTCTTCTTTTGTGGTGAATTATTGATGATGAGCTCTTCATTTGTAGGAATATTTTGTTCAACATTAATAGTTCAATTAATCCGTCTCAGAAATATGTATCTATTACAATTATTTTAATTTGAAATAATTTATAAAACAGAATGTCAAAAATAATTTTAAATCAACTTTTTAATAATTCACACAATCAGTGCCCATCTTACCTTTTATTTCTTTTTAAATAATTAAATGATAGTCTGTATTGATCTCTTAAAATAAACATTTTTTTTTTATGAATTGTGATGATGAGCTCTTCATTTGTAGGAATATTTTGTTCAACATTCATAGTTGAATTAATCCATTTCATCAGTATATATTATTATTCCGTTTTTTATAGCTTATGAACTTGCTTAATTAATCATTATAAAAATAAATATATTAAGATTAGATTTAGGTCATATTTTTTTTCTTAGTTCATTATATCTGAAAAAAATGCATTGTATTTGTTAAACCATAATATTATAGCTTGAAATCGATTAGATTCACATTCTTGCTTATAAAATAGGCAAGCAAAAAAGAAATTAATTTATTAATTGTTTAACCTTTTGGAATAATCCTACTTTAATTGTTCTCATTTGCTTTCTCGTACATAGTTACAATTATTACACTGCAACTTTAAAGAAGCATAGAATATAAAGTTGTGTTTGACGTTCATGATAAATATATTTCCTGCCTTGGAACATGAGATCAAAAGCATTAAAGTGTTAGGAAGAAAATACGTACTTGAACAAGGCAGGCCGGGAATAATATTTGCAGTCTAAGTGTATTTATAAACCCAGTGTTTGAACTTTCTTCTTGGAAAAGAACATGGATTATTAGTGGAGGAATTGGTGATCATCAATTCTATCTAATGCTTTTTACAGAGGATAAACCATTGGTTAGCCATGTTTGTGCATTGTGTGCAAGCCTTTGAGGCGTGTGTCATATTGCAATTATGGAGACATACAGAATAGGTGCAAACACACCAATTAGTGTTATTATTGAATTATTTTTTTCTAATGGATTGCTTTCAAAATAAAGATCATAACCTTTTTAAATAGGTTTTAAATTTACTTTTAGAAGTAAAAATAATTAGAATTCTATTTTTTATTTTTTTGGTAATAGTCGAAAGAATTAGAATTCTAATTCAAATAAAAAATAATATAAACACTAGATATCAAGCTAAAAAATTTAAAATTAATTAGGAAATAATAAAATTAAATAAAATAGCAACTTTGAGCCTAATTTGGAGGGTAATTTGAGCTTTGTTGGTTATATCCAGCTCACACTATAAAAACCAGCATACAGAATCTTCTAAGAAAATTTAAGACATATTAAATAATTAAATCAAAAGTTATGGATATTTTCGTCAAATCAATTGTTTGGCAAACTTATCTCTTTTTAGGTACCCATATAATCTAAATATATAATACGTACTGACGTCTAAGGTCATCATTGAAGAGAGCACAACCTCATAAATATCACGAAATTGAACAAGCAAACATTCTGCAACACTCAAAATATAATGATCAATGGTAGAGGTTCAAACCAACAATAAAAATGAAAAATCTCTAGGCCACTTTATTCTCACATATTAATCAAATCGAGCTTTTTGCCTTTTTATTGGGACCGAGCATCCCCCCCCCGTGGTAGGCAAGGGACAGGAAACGATGGCAGAGCTTTCCCCTTTTTCTTGAGAATGCTGAATGTAGAGCCCATAAAGGAGACGTACAGACGGAATTGCATTATTGCAAATATTGAGACAGGAAAGAAGGCAGCAAAGGAAAGGAGTAATGTTGTCAACTTACTCTCTGTTTGAATGAGTATCAAAATTGTTGCCCCAAAGGATATCATGGTCGTTATCACCGCGAAGAAGAGGAAGGTGAAGCCCCAAATAAGTTTTCGAGGAAGAGAAATGTAGAAATCTTGTTGCTCAAAGGGAGAGGTCAACAAAGAGAGAAAAACCACCAGCGAAGTCAAGGAGCTTGCTAAGGAGAGAACATCCGAGACAGTGAAAGCCAGAAAATAGGGAGAGTTGATGAAGTTGGGCTTGCCTTTATCATCAGAACCTCCAGGCACGGTATAGGCAGCAGCGAAGACAACAGTAGCAACAAGTGCAGCTACTGTGGAACAAGACTGAGTTGTTTCCTTGATCCATGTTCGTGCGTTATGCAGTTGTTTTTCGTGATTATGTTTGAAGAGCTCTCTTGCAGTCATGCCGTCATCGTTCGGATGCTCGACATAATGAGAAGGAATTACCTTGCGGACTTGCTGCCATAATTTGGATATAAACATGACCATTATATATAAGGAGTTCCTAAATAAAACTAAATATTACAGAAATGTAATTACTAGAGTGCAGATAATTTTTTAATTGTGAACAATATTTAAGTTTTCCCAAAATAGGTGGTTCAGGTGGTCAGAAGAACTCGTTCAGCCTGATGTCCTCATTAGGTTCGGCATTTCTACGTTAATTGGTTTGGATAATTTGGTTAAAACAAATGCCTGAATAGGATTGCATGGTGTTCATATACACAAGAAGGATAATCCTGTACCATGTCCATGAATAATTTTTATCAGGAGGTAAAGACAAAGGGATGAAAATGGCTCACCTCAAACCATTGCAACTCCTCCTGAAGTTGAAGTGCGGGTCCAGGCTTGGTTGCTCCACTGTGTTCCGTCACAACTGCAACATGGTGCAGCAATGTGTTGCCCTTCTTATCAATAATTCGATGCAGTCTAGCCAACGGTATTTTCTGTTGCTTCACAAGACTGAAGATCTCTTTCTGGCGATGCATGACGGCCACATCCAAAATGCTCTGCCCCTGATCATTGAGCTGCTCAATAGCATGAGGATGTTGTTTTATTATCTCCCCAACAATTTCTTCTATTCCATATCTAGTTGCAATCAACAATGGGATATCCTCCTTGGTAATTAATGATGACTTCGTTACAGAAGTTTGGCCCACAGCAAGGAACTCGTTTTCTCCCTTTCCATTTTCTTTCCCACCCATTCCCTGCTCTTCTTCTTCCATTACGCGCATAACTGGTATTTTGGCTCTATTCCATGACTCATCTTTCTTTATTAGGTTTTTGGCGAGGCTCAAAGCAAATACATGCTTTCTTTTATGGTTCCAGAATCCTTCTAGCCTTGCTGACCAACATCGTTCTTCATGTTCATGTGAAAGCGAATGAAATTAAACATGTATGAGAGCTAGTGATGTTTATGATAGTAGAAGGATGAACCACAGTAAAATAATAATAATAATAAAACTCGTAGCTAAAAGAACTGGATCAAAGTCATGCCAATATAAACTGAGCCACATAATTTTATATATATGTATGTGTGTGTTTTTCATTACACTCCAGAAATGTATCTAATATCGATATACAAAGGTTGCTCAACAATACCGCCTAGCCTTAAAACCCAAAGAACAGGTCTCAATTTTGTCCACTACCTTTAAGGACCTTGAAATAGCCTCTTGGTTTCCTCTCCAAACCGCTCTCAACATCTCCCACACCCTTCCGTGCCTGGCCACTAGTTTCTACTTGTAATTTTACCTCGCGGCGAACAGGAAGACCTGCAACATAATTTAGAGTTCAAATCATATACATATAGATGTCTAAACACACACACACACACATATATGCAGGCACTATTGTAAGGTCTAATAGTGTGTTTGGAGTAGGCATACAACAGTAGATGAGTCTTTCAAATATGCCCATGGGAAATCCACTCTCAAAAGCAGATGGCATGTGGGCTAGAAGTTGAAGAACAGTTATGCCCTTTTTGTCCTTCAAGCTGAGGAGCGATTCATCCAGTTCTAGCAAAAGTAAAGCTGTTTCTGTATTCATGAAATTAGACATTCAAAAATTATACAATATCTATGATACACACACACACACTTTTTAAATTTGAGAATTCTATAAAGAGAGAAATTGTTACCAAAGTGTTGCCCTATGATAGCAGCGCCAAGGATGGACAGGCCATCTTTCCATCGCTGGCGGTGAATTGATAACAGGTTGTTTTCATAAACCACGCATTGTTCTGGTTTGGACCGGATTAAAAATTCCACTATTTCTGCCTCACCATATCCAGCAGCTGTAAACAGCGGGGTTTCACCGTACTTATTAGTAATGGAAATTAGGTCTGGACAACATTCTACCAAGAGTCTTACACCCTCATAATTCCCATAGATGGTTGCCTCGTGAAGAACCGTATTTCCAAATTCGTTTCGTGTCTCGGTTAAAATGAATTCTCTTCCCTCCATGATTCCAAGTAAATCTTTAAGTGGTTGCTCGTCGTTGCTGTGAACAGCTAGATGAAATCCAGTATCTAAAGAGAGAGTAACTGGAGAGAACAAGTACTCGAAATTTTCCTTATAGTAGTCAATCATGTGTTGCCATTCTCCATTCATGGCCGCTATATAAGGTGTCTCCTGTATCATCTCATCAGAATCCATATTTTCTCTCTACATCAAATGCAAGTAACTATTGTTAATTAACAATCTCAACTCAAAGCTAATTAAATTGTTAGGTGAAATCATGTTTAGTACTGCTCTGTTTTGTAAATTACATGATATTTGTTTGTTGTTTTCTTTCTCTCTTTCTATTGTCACTATTTTACTGGCTATAAGAGATATTAATGAAGTTCCGACTTCATCAAAAAATAAACTAAAATTGTTAGGTAAAATCCTAAAATAAATTTATATTAATATAATGGAAAACAAAATTACGAAGTAAGGACTCAAAGAGAACTGTTTGTATATCGTACCTTTTAGTGATGGAAATGATCGAAATGCTCCTCTACCTAGCTTGTAGCTTGGGAACCCTTTTATATTACAGAAAAAGGTAAATTAGGATCTGCGTGTTGCTTGTTTAGTTTATAAAGTGAAACTATTATGAGAATATAATTAATGAAGCTAAAGTTCTATTTACTTCCTTTATAAGAACATAACAATGATGGAATATATTAATTTCTAATATATCCATCTTTACTTTATTTACTTAGTCGTTAAAAAACTTAAACCTTGTAAAGTTTTATATTAAATTAAATAGCTGAAAAACTCAAGTCTTGTAATGTGTGGTCCATTCATGATCAATATTTTTTTTATATTTTTATATTTACTCAATATGGGATATGATTGCTAACATGTGAGACTCTAAAAATTATATGATTTTATATTAACTTTCTAAAAATCATATATGATTTTATATGATTCACATTCTTGCAAAATAGACAAGCAAAAAAGAAGAAAGTAAATTATTACTTGTTTTCCCTTTTTCTTTTGGAATAATCCTACTTTAATTGTTCTCGCAGCAACAAGGAAGGTTACATTAGAGGATAAGACAGAAACAGAAAGACACGTTGGCTTATTATAAAAGTAAATCAACTGAGAATTAGGCTATTTAATGTATCCAATATGCTACACACTCTCTATTTGTTAATAGATCCATGTAAGTATGTATAAAACTAGGTTTGAAGAATTGAATCCAAGATGCGGCATTTTGAAATAAACAACAAAAAAACAGGGATGATTGCTTCATATAAGAATTAGCTTTAGTATGCCAAATTATAATCTATATTATTCCATATATAAGAGATTTCTTGCCATACCTTTCACTTGAACTTTCCTTTGATCAATCCTTTCCACTAATGAAACAAATCATCCAATAAACTATTTGTTCCAGATTTTCCGAGACATTTAATAATGAAAACGGTTGTGATCTGTAGGTTCTGACCTGGAAATACAAAATGAATATAAATATTCCTGCATTATGATAAAATATTTTTAATTAAAAAAGGTTGGGTGCAAAACCATTTTTCTATAGCTAATCATTATCTTAACTTAAAAACTTAAGTTTTTATATACATAATTTATATCAACTTTTAAATGTTCCATACTATCAGCGCCCATCAATCTTACTTTTCTGTTTCTTTTTAAATAATTAAATAATACTTTGTATTGATCTCTTAAAATACACCTTTTTCTTTTCGGTGACTTCATATTCTCGGATGAGCTTCTCCTTTATTGTGATATTTTCTTAATAGTAATTTAAAAATTACTCTGCTTTTTGTAGCTTAAGAACTTGTTTGATTGATCACTATAAAAATAAATATATTAAGATTAGTTCAATATAAAAAAAATGCAGATTATTTGTTAAACCATATTAATATTGCAGCTTGAAATCCAGATTCACATTCTTGCTTCTGAACTAAACAAGCAGAAAGTAAATTCTTCATCTTTTTCCCTTTTCCTTTTGGAACAATCCTACTTTAACTGCTCATACATAGACGCATAGAATATACAATTGTGTTTCACGTTCATGACAAATTGTCCTTGAAATCTATTTCCAACAAGCCATTAAAGGGGCTTCATTTCCTTCTACTTGGAGTATAGAGTGCAATGGATGTGATCACTAACCAGCTACTAGGCTAAAGGGTAATTCCCCTTGCCGCGAAACATGAAGTCAAAATCATTAAAGTTTCAGTCAAGAAACTACATTCTTGAACAAGGCTGGCCGGGATTTAAGAGTTATTTTAAAATTATTAAATTCAAATAGGTTTCAAGTATTAAGAGTTATTTTAAAATTATTAAATGAACGTCATTTAAAAATTGAAGATTTTAACTTGAGATAATTGATGTGGAAATGATAAAGGGGTAAATTGTGAATCTTATAAACAAATGATTGGTTTAAAATGGAAAGGGTGATTTTTCTATCAGCTTGTCCGAAAATTGCTACTCTATTTTGGTCCACGTTTGATAGAATGAGGATCCATGTTATAATTAGAGAGCAATAAAGCTAGCTCCATTAGATGACAAAGATTTGTACCTTTGACCCATTAATTTAGCTAGCCTACATCTGCATATTTTTCTTTTTTTATAATAATCGAAATTTTATAAATAAAACATAGTCTTTACATAGAAATGGAAAACTCATATATAAAACAATTAAACCAAAAGATATTCAGCAGTTGTTAATTTGTCCAGCATCAGATATTTCTATCTGATTTCTGTAAAGATCCATCCCTGTATATGAGAAATTACTGTCCACAGTGTGCAACAATAGGGCTAGGTGGTGAAGGATTAGGGAAAACACTGCAATCCAATCGGTGTTTTGTTTTCAAAAATTAGTTTATTTCTTGATGTCCAAATGCCCCATAAAATGCCATGCGAAAGCAAAATAATTGCTTTTCGTTGGAATATCCCGGTCACCAGTGCACTCCTGAGGCATAATCCAGCTGCAGTCTAACCATTTTGTGAACTTCATCCACAATTTCACACACATCATCACAGTGCACGAAAAGATGAGCTCCGTACATCTTCGGTACTGCATGCTATGACAAAATGAGCATTTATTTTGAACAATGTCTATCAGATTCCTGTGGAGAAGAAACTCCCGAGTGCAGACTCTATTCTGAAGCAAGATCCAAATGAATTGAACCTTCTTTGTTACTCTATTCTGAAAAAAACATCCAAATCAAAACTGTTAGGATTTTTAAGCAATCAAAACACATTAATTTATATGCTTCGGCAACTTGCCTACTCCAAAGAGCAACTAGTTTGTATTAATCAAGCTTAGAAATAATACAAACAACAAAACAAGGAGGAGGAGAAAAACTTCTCTACTTAACTCAACTTTCTCTCTAACTCTCTCTCTGTGTTTCTCTCGATTTCTTGTTATTCTCAACTCTCAATAACATCCTCTATTTATAGTTGAAATGAGAGACAATCCTCTCTATTTAGTCAATTATGGTGGCTACCATTTTTCTTTGTTTAGGCACCCACCATTGACTCTTGCCATGCAACCACATGGCTGTCAACAACCATTTGTATTCATACATAATAATCTCCCACTTGGACACGAATAGCGCTAGATCTGTCTTTTAATCTTGAAGACCAACTAAATCTTTACACAGTTTTAGTTTATCAAGAGTAATTCCTTTGGTTAACATGTTAGCTGGATTTTTACTTCCATAGATCTTTTCTAGCAACCATTGCTCATCGTCTAACAATTGTCGGATGAAGTGATATTTGATCTGAATATGCTAAGTTCTGGAGTGAAATGCTGGATTCTTGGCAAGGAAGATTGCACTCTGACTGTCGCTATACAAAGTACCATTTCCATTCATCTTGCCCAATTCCTTCAGGAAACTCTGTAGCCATACTATCTCTTTTGCAGATTCTAAGACTGCAACATATTCAACTTCTGTCGTTAAAAGAGCGACTACCTTTTGTAAGGTAGAACTTCAAGAAACAATTATGCCTCCTAGAGTGTATACATATCTTGTAGTACTCTTTCTGCTATCAATATTTCCTGCTAGATCAGCATCTACAAAACTTTCAAGTTTCAAATCACCAGCTGTAAAAGTAAGACATGTCTCTGATGAACCTTTTAAGTACCTCATAATCCATTTTACTTCCTCATAATGCTGCTTTCTAGGATTACTCATATATCGACTTACAACTCCCACTATATGGGGAATGTCTGGTCTGATACAGACCATAACATACATCAAAGAGCCGATAGCTGAGGCGTATGGAATCTTATCCATGTATCCACATTCTAGCTTAGTTTTCGGTGACTAGTCTCTACTAAGCTTGAAATGATTCCCCAGAGGTGTACTTACTAATTTAACATTATCCATACTAAACCTGCTAAAAACCTTCTTGACATACTCTGTCTGTGAAAGCTTTAGTAAGCCTTTGTCTTTATCTCTAATGATTCTCATGCCAAGTATTTGTTTAGCAGCTCTCAGATCCTTCATTTCAAATTATTTTGACAACTGTTGTTTTAGCTTGTCAATCTCTTCCATGCTGGATCCTGCAATCAATATATCATCCACATATAACAGTAGAATGATATAGGAGTTGTCAAAATGTTTGATATAGTAACAATGATCAGCCTGACATTTTATGTATCCCGAACTACACATGAAGTTGTCAAACTTCTTGTACCATGTCTTGGAGCTTGCTTCAAACCATATAGGCTTTTCTTTAGCTTGCAAACTTGATTCTCCTTTCCTTGTATTGCAAACCCCTCTAGTTGTTGCATGTAAATGTCTTCCTCCAATTCACCATGAAAAAATGCTATTTTTTCATCTAATTATTCAA